CCGGCAGCGGCAGTTACCCGCACAACTCGGGCAACTCGAGAGCCTCCAGGAACAGTCGTCGGTCCGATCCTTTCAAGAGCCGAGAAGATGAGCTCGAGCTCTATCCCCCCGACACCGGCAGCAAGGCGCCCTCGCCATATCCTAGCTCACACGACGTGGGCCGGTCCTAGGGTCATATCCTAATGAAGACCCACGAGGGGGGACATTTGAGTCATCTGAGACCAGTTCAGAGCTTTGTTACATTTGTTAGTCTCCTGTTTTCTGGTATATGGGGAACGGGCGGCAAAGTCGGTTTTTTTTTTTTTTTTTTTTTTTTTTTTTTTTGCAAAGTCGTTTTTTTTTTTTTTTTTTTTTTTCGCACAGCGTTAATGGGGAAACAATCGCGCATAATTTCTTTACTTTAACGTTTCGTCTCTGTTTTAACGGTCATGCAAGTATACGTGGTTTGACGTGGCGGGAATACCCAATTTTATGCGAGTGCTGCAGATCTGGTGTCGGGAAACTTGTTTTAGGGGGTGGGACTACATAACATCGAGTTTTGAAATATGGAACTGTACATGATGAAGGGGACATTTGCGGAGTGACTTGCACGGAATCCTTGCCGATCGTGCATTGGGGGTGATCCCGATTCAACATGCGGTGCCGTTTGAACCACGGGGACGATGGCGGCGTTGGGTTGCGGAGGAGACGCCCTTTATGCACAGCTCAGATGGTTTCAAGCCGTCTCTGAGAGCACCTTGTAGACTCGGTATTTCTGCCACTAGTGTCCTCCACGCGGGTGCGTTTGACATACAAACGCGGCCTCTGGCGTTTCATCCGTCGTGGTTGGGGCCTTGGGTGCCGTTGCCATTACCGACATCGCGGCCAGCAAGAGTCGCCACGCCGACAAAACCAAACATCTTTAGCATCACTCTGCCTGCGGACGTACACACAGACTTTTGCGGGAGCAGGTCTGAGCTGCCTCTCGCATAGGTCCCAAGGGACGTCGCAAAACAGCCTCTACTGGGGCCCAGGCTCCATGAGACCAAGAAGACAGGGAAATCCCTGTACGGTTGACGATGTGCCGCGTGGTTCTCTGCCGGCCCTGGTGGGCGGCAGCGTGGTGCTAGGATGCCAAGTGTTTCAAGGCTTCAGACGAAGGAAGCTGTCCTCGTCTGTGACACGCAGGACCCCGCAGTCTTGTGTCGTTTGGAAGCATGTAGAATGGCATCATGTCTGTATCATGTGACTTTTATTTCGAGGAGGTGGTTTCGTCTTGATGCATCTGATCCCCTCCTTCGGCAACGGTGGTGGCTGTTTTAAACCCACTCCGAGGTGACGGCGCTTCCGGTGACAAATACAACGGGGAGAACAGATGTCGTGTCATGGTCTAATTCCACCAATACATGTGGAGGTGAAGGGCCAGGCCTGTAGACCTGGATTGCGGCTCCAGCCAAGGCGTACATTGACCACTCGGTTCAGTGGAAGAATTCATCTGTGTGGTTCCATCCGAAAGGCTTGCTTATTCACAGCATTAAAGCTGGTGTATTGATCCAAGTTCAAGGGCTTAAAGTGTCACACGGTTACACAAGGGCTGCAATCGTGGGACCTAGGGCAGAAGACCCTCACCGACTTCTTGTATTTATAGAGCTCTTTGGTCAACTAGACCTTGGGAAAAACCAAGGACCTTTGATACCAAAGATTGTTCTCAGATGAACTGAGCTATTGCTCTAAGCCCTTACTGAGCCCTTGTCACGTAAAGGCTTGAACAAATTCATCAGTGGCTCGGCATTATTCATAGTGAGTGGCTCTGGCGCTGATCTAATCTGGTCTAGAGGCGAAAATTAAGTCAACTAGGGGGCTCTTAGCAACTTGGTTCGTTATGAAGTGGCTGGGCGGCTAAGATTTGGCACTTGGCCTAGCTACTAGATTTGGGGAAACTACAGAGTTGCCAATCTACAAATCCAAACTCCCCAGTGACTATTTTTAACTTTATACGGGATGGCTCTCTTTTAGTTCCCGGCCACAAGTTGCCTTTGAATGGCTTGTATTGATTACGGCTCAAGTAGCTCGTTCACTTTGAGGCTCGTCACCACTGCGTCACAGTTGGTCTCGGACAAATTCGGCAAACAGAGCGTATCTGCATTAAACTCTGTAGACGTCATGCCGAGATGTAGTTTTATTCCGCCACGCTCAACGAAGATGGTAGACTGGATCCTTTTCAAGCACATGTATTTTAAATTCCCCAAATAGCCCGAGTATTTAAAGGCCCCAAGTGTATTTGCGTAAAAGCTGATGTTGCCGCTCATCATCCCTGACTGCTTCGACCGACGATACCACAAATACCTCTCAGGATGCCCTGGAACATGTTACCTCGAGAGCTTAGCAATGAAATCTTGACGCAGGTCGTCGAGACTGCGTGCAGCAGCAATGAGCCCATTGCTAGATACGCAAGCGTCTGCCGAGGTTGGCAGGCCTTTTTCGAATGGTACACATTCTGCTCTCTCGACGTCACGCCAGGTGATCTCGATACCTTCAGATCGGCATTCCAAGCGGTACAAAGAAGAAGATACCTTCAGCGCCTCGGCCTGGTACTCGCCCTTCCCCAACACCCGCCGATCCGATTTCATAATAGCCAGGGCGACACAGAAGAGCAAACCGCCCTGCTACTAATGCGGATGATCTGGGACGGCGGCCCTGGTGCCTACTACGTTCCTCCGGGGCTGAAACACCAACACGGGCTGGACAACATGTCCTTTGTTTCCGGCGTCTCCTCTCTCTTTCGCCTCTTGGCGGCCTGGACACGAGACCAAGTCTCGGACAAGGGTGTGGCCCTCGAAATCATCGCAGACTCAAAGAGCTATTGGCAGAGGATGGCGGAAAGATTGCGGCAATACGGCCGACTTTCCGCCATGCATCAGAGACCTGTGCAGAACCTATGGATGGTGAGTGGCACACGGTTCTTGGCCACGTCGGTTTCCTGGCGCGACTGGCAAGGGCCCATCTGCGCAGCCGAAGTAGACTTCAATTTCGAGCTCGGCTTGTATTACGGAGGCGCATGCGGGGGGCAGGGGAGGATTGCCAGGACAAGAGGCCGCGAGGAGTTGTTCCCCATCGTCAGGGTCATCACGGCCGTGTCTATTCGACGCAGGACCGTTCGGCGCTTCCACCCGGAGGCCGTCCGCGCCATTGTCCGGAGCCTCCCCTGTCTTCAAAGGCTCGACTGGCAGCTCCGGCCATTCGTGACCTGCAAGAGCAAACGCCCGTTTGAGCACGACATTGTCAAGGTGCTGCGGGCTCTGCCCTCGTCGCTGCGACACGTGCACGTTACCCAGGTGCAAATGTACCTGATCCGGTGCAGACGTCGAGATTACGAATGCGACGGCGTATTATTCAGATCCATCTGGGCCAGACTCTCTCGGCTCGAGAGCCTCTCTCTCGAGTATCATGGCCGCACGCTCGAATCCTACATGAAGAATAACACCACGCCGTGGCCAAAGCTGGAGAGGCTTGTCTTCGCAGCCAGGGGATCCATAGGGGACCATCCAACCGACGATCTAAATCGTCTGGTCCAGAACGCCGCCCGAATGCTGCTACGCATGCCTCGGCTGCGGTTCTTGATGCTGTACGACACCACTGGCCGTGGCGTTGGCTGCTTCACCTGCCGAGTTGCGGATGGCGCCATTGCTCTTGATCTCAAGTGCAGTTGGCACTTTATACCAGACGCAGTCTCGATAGCATCTTGGCAGACTACGGCGGCAGCACGCGCCGTCCAGAATGTCACCTGGGACGCTGGGATGCCAGGCATTTCTCACATTATACAGTACATAAATCTGATTCGAATCAAAAGTCCAATTCTGTTGAGAGGGGGCTGATGATGATCAATTTACGAGGCCCGTTTACAAGGGGCTCCAACTCCGGACAACGATTCTAGTATAATGCACAGAGGCAAGGCTTCAGTTCATGGTCCATTGGAATGGCTAGCACTTCAGTTGATGCGGGTAATACGGCTGGCATCTCTCCAGGGAAGAGACATGTACTTTTCTGTCATGGTACCAACTCGAATAAAATCATCACCTGTCAACGGAAGATGGCGGCATAAACGCTTGTAAAAGGGCTGTATCCAATACACAAGCTGCTACACAAGCTGCTTCAACAGAGGTTTGAGGCCTTTGAAGAAAACGGGATATCCGAGGTCATCGTCAACTATAAAAAAAGGGCCTCAATCCCTCGACAGACAGCTTCAATCAAGGACTAATTCCAATATTCAATTAGGTCCATGGCTGCTCAATCGTGACATTACCATTCTATATTTAAGATTAGTATCACTTTGGTCAATTTATCACACGTGAATAGAAAGGCCGACCCTTGCTAGGGGTACCAAGGGGGAAGGCAACAATGGCAAGTAACTATTTGACCCAGATCACGTACCAGGATATCGCGTTATGTACACCGAGGATACCGTGCTACCTGTAGGCAGTGTCCCTGATATAAGTTGGCGACATAATACATTGCAACCGTCATCTCATGCATCGGGATGCCAACACTTCGGTTTCCAAAGTCCTCTTTCCTTGGGCAGGAGCTACAAAAACCCCGTATCCCACTGGCACGTGGCTTACGAATATAAAACTCGCTATTCTAGAGCTCAGAGTCATTGTGACAATGATTCTCTCGAGTTTTGAACTACACGAATCGCCGTTGGAACTATTATCACTTATAGGCAATGACATCAGCACTCACAGACCGCAGTAGACTTATATCAGACTGGCCACAATTAAATGAGAACTAGAACTATGATCGGTGGTTTAGCTGACTAGAAAATCCCGTTTGCCGTGGCTGAGGCCATCGCGAGATAGCCTTCGCCGGCGGGCCGCGACAAATCACCAGTCTTGCTAGCTTCTGACGCATCGCGATGTGTTCATGGTGTATTACGTGGCATGTTACGGTTCTCTGGCTTGGTCACGGCCAGGCATAGTGTTCTTCACTGGGCCTTGCTTGATGTAGTGCTTGTGCGACTCATTAAATAAGTCAAAAAAATCAAAATTAAAACTCAACATTGGGCTGTCTTGGAACCATGCAGCGGTCCAATATCATGCATAATGCATACCCGTTTGGCGTTCAAGAGCCACGAGAGGCAAGAGCTTTCTCCCGTGCACATAAAGAGCCATGCCAGACCTTATCTGCCAACCCTTTCTCCTGGTAGCCACGAAGCACCTTCAAGGGTAAGTTAGCAGAGCGGCTTGCTTTTACTCGGAGCTGATGTGATATGCGGTATCGCCAATGGTTAAACGAACTGGACCAACAATAATTAATATCACGTACTAACAATACCCTACAAGGCTCGTTGTCGTTACACCGAGAATGGGGAACATCATTTGGAGCAAATCACTTTCAAAGGGGGACATGGGTCTCTCGGCCGCGGCGCTGAGGTTTGCCTTCCGCGGCTATTGCGGACGACGGCGGCAGGGGGCCGGGCTGAAGCCGAAGTTGGAGACCCAGATGCCGGCCGGCGCCCGGCAGCAACGGGACGAGAGTCGGCATTGGCACCTAGATTGTGCATGGGAGTTGAGCGTGGACTTTCGCTTCCATCACATGACCACCGTCAAAGCAAAACGGTGCGTGCAACAGTCGGTGTTTTGTTCTCTCGTCAATCAGCAGTCATACAACCCACCCAACATTTCGCGAATTTCAGCCCAATACTCGCAAACAGACACAACACGAAATTGCGCACTCGCAAAAAATAAAGGGCGCAAACTTCCCTCCAACGACATGTTGACCCCTGCTGTCCCGGGCTGCCAGCCTCCCACGCACTGTCTAGCCGCGCAAACTCCACAAGATCCAAGGCGTAAGCCACGACAAACGCATCCGGCAACTGCCTACGTCAGCAGCAAAACTACACAGCTACAACAACGGGTTGGCCAAACGAAGAGAAAAATCTCTAAAACGAGACATATACATCAAATCATCCTGCCAGTCACCGCACAGTCTCTGTGATGCCCGTTACCGAGTTCGCCATCATTTGCCTCCGCGGCGGCGGCTTCGACGAGCTCGACTTCCTCGAGGCGCTGATGGAGGTGCAGGAGATCCAGGACAGCTGGACGCGCGTCAACCACCCGTACAGCCTGGAGCCCAACAGCAACCAGAGCAGCATGTACATTGAGCACAGCGACCCGCCGTCGCTCCTCATCACGGCGCCGTGGGACTCGCCCGAGGACCACCTGGAATGGATCCGGTCCACCGACAACCAGGTGTGCAACGCCAATCTGTCGCGCTACATCAAGCCCGGGTGCGGCTCGGCGCTGCTGCAGCATCTGAGCCCGGCCGGCAAGGACGAGCAACTGCGGCGGGCGTTTTTGAACAAGGACAGCTTCAGCGTCGCCAGGATCACCGTCGAGCCCGGGGACAAGAGGGACAAGCTACAGGAGGCGTACGAGAAGGAGGAGAGGGACGTGGGTCTCATGGAGGGGGATCAGAAACTCTGGGCGGGGTGGAGGGTTGAGAAGCTGGACGGGAACGAGGAGCTGGTTGTGTTTTGGACAGATGAGGTGCCCGAGGAGAGGGTGCACAAGTTGATTGCCTTGGGGGACAGGAGTGAACAGAGGCGCTTCAGGCATGTCGTGTAGGGTTTCTGATCCATCTCGTGCTTCCCTCTTTGTGTCTTCACTTCGTCGTTGGCAGTTGGCGCAAAACATGGCACATTGCTACTGTTTGGGGGGGGGGGCCGTTTCGACATGTAGTTCTTGGTAGTGTGCTTCAAAAATCGTCCTTGTTCAGCTCTATTCGAGTGCCGCGCGTTCTGAGCACATGAAATGCAAAGGTATCCCGAGACGCCCATTCGTGCATGTAGATTCCTTTTTTTTGGCTTAATTCATCACCGTCCGTCCGCTTTCCACCCGGCAGCCCATGTCCTCGCTTTACCGCATCGTCATGCTTAGTTCTTCTTGCCAACCTCGGCAATGCTCAGGTCTGCAAAAAAGCACATTAGTAAAAAGCGCCTCGGGTCAATTTTTGCCGTCGCCAGTTCGCTCGATGGATAGAGAATTGCCCCAACGAGTTCACGGGGCGATACACGGTTCGAGAAGGGGGCATTTCGGTGCGTACTGGGAGGCAGGCTCTGCTTCAACTTCTCGGCCTTGTCGGTGTCCTTGAGCACCAGGGTGTACAGGTGAGTCTGGCAGCGGACCTTGAACTTGACGTTGTTGGACTTCTTGTTCTTCTTGATCCGCGCGGCTGTGAAATTTAAACCGTTAGAATTCAATTCCCACACAGAGAATAAGAGCCGTCCAATCTCCCGCCATGTCAAGTAATTGTCATGGATGGCGGGCGTGTGCGTTTATCCGCTGGCAAAAAAAACATACAGGAAGCGTCCTTCCGACGGCAGATCTCGATGAACTGCACATATCTGTTAGTCATGCAAAAAAAAAAAATAACCTCACACTGTCAGACACAATTGAAGAATATCAGACGCACCTTCTTGATATCGGCGACCTCACGAGGCATTTTGGCGGTAGTTCGATAGGTCTGTCTGTACAGAGTCTTGACAGGGCACGAGTTGCGGAATCGATGGATTTTGGAGAATTAATTTTGTGCGCTGCTTTCTCACGGTGCCCGCGCACAGACCAGCTGCGACAATGTCTGGTACGTACCGTGAGGCTGGTGGCATGTAGAGTGGGTCCAAATGTGGCGTGTGGCTGTCGCAGGGGACGACTGAGAGTCGGCCGTCGAAGCAATGAAGCTTGGAACTTCTGCGCCACGTAACTTGTTACCTGCCAACCTGGTGTCGTCACCATCTGCGATTTCACGTCAAGTACTCCGTAGACACCTTTCCAAAGTAGCCTGCTGAACATATATTCTCCCTTTGACAAAATCGTAGCCCAAATTCTTCCTTCACAATTTCCCCGACTCGATTTGGTCCTGGCTGGTTGAGAACTCACAAGATCAGTGGTGTCTAGGACCATCTACCCGGTATCAAGATGCCAACACCGCTGGACAATGCAATGAGGTCAAAGGTACGGACTGAAGTAGAGTTTGGAACAAGATGCACAGTTTTGTGTAATTATTGGTTTTGTATTCGCTAACTGGAGTCAGAACATGGTGCTTGGTGAGCTATTTATTTTTACTATTGCCACGGACTACTAACCGTCTACAGCCTTTGGGGGTGCCGTTGTTGCAGCAGCAGTGTGGACAATATGGGGTACCGATATATTTCCCGCAGAACCAGACCCAACAGGTGATCCCGAGACTTGGACACGAGAGGAAATGAGGAGGTGGTTAGCGGCCGTAAGTACCGCGAGTTTAACAGCAATATACAGACTGATACTTTTCTACAGCGGAACCTTTTCCCGGGTGAGAGTGATACAAGGGAGCAGTTGCTTCTACGAATCAAGGCCAACATGAGAGTTGATAGGAAATAAGACGTATGATAATAGGTATCAATGTGTATTACATCAATGTTTAATGCATGAATGAGACTTCCGTGATTAGCTGTTGAATGCGTAAATAAAAGCTTAGTTCATTATATGACTATGAAGTTGTTTATCTTGTTAAACCTATCCAAATGCTCCTGCAAGCACTACATCGGGTACAGCCCAGTGAATGTAACACAAGGGGCCTGGCCGTACCCAAGCCAGAGAACCGTAATCTAGCGAGTCATATACCATGAAATACACGCATCGTAAGATTGGCGATTCAAGATGAAGAAAGACACCAAAAAAAGAGCCAAAAAAAAGCACTGTCTGCTAGTTTGCCTCATCCCCGAGGGTCATTGTGTGATTATACCACGGCGATTCGCATGCAGTAGATGAGGTATCCTACTTCAACTTGTCTCTTTCCAGAGCTGGCGCGGGCATGGGTCCTGGATGCCATTTATGAATGAAATGTCTGCTACCACCTCGAAACGAGTCTCCCTTTCAGGTATTTCTGTTGCATCGGTTCATCAAGCTTCCAGTCCCCCCATTTCTTGTCATACATGAGCGAAGTCAACTCAATCGCTCGTTCTTTGGATACCGCACGCATAGCTTTGATCCGGCATTTCTCGTACTTCACAGAAATATGCTCGTCGAACGGTGGAATTAGCAGCGTCTTGAGCTTGGGAGCCCAGTTTGGATGTTCCAGCAGGGCATCAAAGGAGGCTTGTGAAATAGTGCCTTTAGCGGCGCCGGGGCCGGCAAGTTCTAAATAGTTTAAATTAGGGCAGTTGGAGAGGAAGGCGATGAATATGGCGTCGGACAGGTTTTTGCGGAACCCTTGCAGTCTTACGAAACGCAAGCTGGGACACATACGCGCCAGTCGCACAGTCATGTCGGGGGTGAGTTCATTCGCATTGTGCGCGTCATAGCTGGCATCTTGATAACAGAACGCGAAGTGTGTTGGGCTGCGGCAGATGCCTGGGCCTATGGATATAAGCTGCTCAATGTGTCGACTTGGGGATGGAGACTAACATGAGCCATTTGTCATTGTCATGGATGCGGACCATTGGGCCAAAATTTGGAGAGCTTTCTTACTCAGTCAGGACAAACGAGCTCCCGAAGCTCAGTTTCTTCGTCCGGGCGGACAATTTCGTTTGCCAACTTTTCTCCCACTCCGCATCAGAGTGAAAGTAGACTTCCTTTTCTCCCTTGGAATCGGGCCGAAGTGCCTGGAAGGCGTTGACGACTTTCTTTACGGGAGGGGCGTGTTGGGATCTGCAAGAACTTCAACTGCAGCTGGGGAAGCTCCCATAGAGTTGTCGGGCGGGTTGACGATTGACGTTGACGCGTCCTTCGCGACTCCTCTTGTAAAAAAGGATTTTATGCTGAGTTGCTGTGCATTGTTGTCCAGGAGCGAGTTCTTTTTCGATGTCCGAACAGGCGGCATTGTGGCTCCGGCGCGACGAGGTCTGAAATGAGCAGGATGAATCGAGGTTACGAAGGGAACTCGTGATCATGGCAACATGTCTAATATGCCTCCATGCCGTCAAAATGCAAGACTCCTAAAGAGATTGATGAAGGACCAGTCGCGTCTTTGATGCTCAAGTACGGATACCTATTAGTTAGACGTTGCGGGTGGCCCCATTTTCTGTCACTTTTAGGACAGTTGAGGCTTTAGAGAAAGAACTGGGTACTTAAGTACTTAAGTACTCCGTACCAGACACCTCTGGCGACTGGCGGCGCAGATGTGGCTAACCATTGATTGGATCCATGTCAGGCTTTGGGCTGGTGAAGTCAGTCTGGTGGCACAATGACGGTCGCAAGTCTCGCTGGCTTTTGAGTTTGAGCTCCATGTCTGTTCTTAAATCCAGTTGACGTTTCGCACACATCTACTCGTATTCAATTAGCCATTTGCTGCCGAATCACCACTGTCCTTTGGCAATGGTAAATCTCTCCCAGCCGCGGTCAACAGCCTGGACAGACTGAGGACTGAGGACGAGACCAACTGGACTCCTCGCACGTGCCGGCTGATGGAGGAGGCGTTTCGACGACCTGCACCTCAAACTGCTTATGACCATCATCCGGACCCTACACGGAAGGGAATCGCGAATCGCCAAACTGCGCCTGCGCGGTGCGCGCACGACTCCAAAACTCACCATAACTCTCAACCATCTCAACAAGCCGTCACATTCCTGGAGCCCCGAGCCGGGCGCTGATGTTCTTGCGAACCAGGAATCTAGCGCATCCTGTGTCAACATCCAGCCCTCAACCATTCCCGAAATTCCATGACCTAATAGCTACGGCTTGTATGCTGTCAGCAGCTGCGGCAAGCTGATTTGCGTGCGCGATTTGTTTCTGCCCCAACAAACATGGCCTTCCTTGAAGACCCCCGGCTCCGCCAACGCTGGAACCAAATCACCCACGACGCGGAAACCGTCACCGAAAACGCGGCAGCCGGCATATTCACCTTTCAGCAAAACTATATCAACCCGTGCCTCGCATCAATAGCCGACGCTATCGAGCAATGCACAACAGTATGCCTGGGCGACCCCGAAGAGCGGTTCCGACGCCGTCGCGAACGCCAACGGGCCCGCGAGAGCGCCGAATTCAGTTTTGACTTCTACGACGACTGGTATGAAGAGGAGCAGTCTGGCGGCGGACTCCTGGGCAGCTGGGGCGGCGAGGACTGGGACCGCCTGCTAGCTGGCACAGGAAGCGCCAGAAGACATGGCGGCGAGACGAACGAGCAACCTCGAAGGAAACGCGGCATGAGCTACGGGACGAGAGGCATGAGGAGGAAGGCGAGCCAGAATGATGCCACAATCATTCCGAGCACGCAGCCCATTGGGTTCTTGAGTAAACTGCCCTGGAAAATGGGCGGGACGCTACGATATAAACCTAGCGCAGCGGACCTGCAAGACCACCCTGGCAAGCACGATGCAGGGGAATCTGCACCGCTGTTGGGCGGTGACGACGACTCGGATTACGGGGAGGTGTTGCGCATGCCTAGACAACGGAGCGGCACGACGGGGTCGGGGGGAACGTCGGATTCGTACCGGTCAAGAGGAGATTTGTTCCCCAGCGATGGGGAGGGAGAGGAGGATGCCGTGCCGTTGGACGACGACGTGACATATGACATGGTAAAGAGGGACGACAGGAGCAGTGGCAAGACGAGGAGCAGTAAAGGAAAACGGCCAGCGGGAGAGCTTGCGGCTTCTTCCCGAACCGTTTCAAGGTCAACACTGGGATCTACGGCGTCCAGTGAGTCCCGCGACTACGGAACGACGGCCCCTCCGACGCCAGGCGTTGCTAATATCCCGCCAATGGAGGATTTACAAGCCGAAGAGACGAGGTTGCAGAGGCAAGAGCACGATGAACGGGCGAGGAGGAAGATGGCTGCCTCGCAGCTTGCTGCGGGGAGGGGACTGGGCGTCGATGAAGAGATCCATGATGTCGAGGACGCGAAAACGCTCGAGATGGCGATGAACGAGATTCACGAACCTCAGGATAAGGTGACATCTTTGCAGGATCGTGATAGACAGGAATCATCACCAACACCAACTCCAGTGTCGAGGGACCAACCAAGAGGGAGCGGAGGCGATGATTCGTATGAATCGAGTAGCAGGTCTACATCGGCTTTCCACGCAGCACGACTGCCACGCTTTGGATAACGGGAGTTTGGATGCTGATGCTGATTTCGTCAGACTCTGCAATTTATTCTGCGTCATATGCTTGCGGAGCGCATACTCTTCTGGACAACGCGAATGGGAGGTTCAAGAGGATATGTATGCGACGTGGGAGGAGCTTGGAATTTTGTGACTATTAGCAAGCGTAGCTGTACTAGGCAGTGTTTTTTTTTTTTTAGAATTTGGCCCGTGACTCGTCGGTACGCACGAGATGGCCGCTAAACTCGGCAAGTCATACTATACAAAGACCGACTGCAATGCAACAATGTACATTTATGTGTGGAGCACAACTTGCGCCGTGAACGTTTAGCCGTGAAGCCGTTTGCTGGTGCAGTATAGAGCGAAAGAAATTTGCCTGCTGCCCGTGGTCTCCTCGTGTCGGGGAACGGTGCCAGAATCATAGACGTAAGATACAATGTTTGCAACGCTGGTGGTATTGGCAGATTTTCTGGCTCTACTGGACAACGTTTAATTATTGCCCGCCACTACTCGACTGGCACGGTCTCGCTGTAAGTTGAGTAGTGACCGGCAAGAATACTCACTAGATCAGATACTTGGCCACCACATCCTTACCATAAGATGCTATCGTATGTTGATGTATCCTTGTTCATAGGCAAAGTTCTTCTGTCATGGAAGCTACGTTTATTTAGTCTGAATCTAGAGCAGCACGTGGACATTTGGTGATAGAAGGAAGTTATAAGTCGATATACCGCCTGTTCTTTCGGAGGGCACAATCGTTTCTCGCATAATAATAGGATTGGGTGAGAACAGAAGTGCCACATACCATGGCCACTGTCGACTCCGATGAAGAACCAATGTTTATACGGGCCCGTTATGAACTATTTTGAGGAATAGAAAAACGGGGTGTAATACTGCGTAGTTGAATTAGATATGATTATGGATTGTAAGCACAAGTAAATATGCAGGCAGTGGTTCATCCAGATGCCAAACATGGGTTTAGTACAACAGGAGAGTATCAGGGCATCACTGCTCCACACCTGGTCAGTTTCGAAACCGCCATCAATCAATGGATTCACATTCCGGGTACGTCGAACCCAGGGCATTGGAGTAGCCGTCTCTGGACGTATTCTTAGCTTCTGAGTGAGGGGGTGTTGGCCGACTCGTACGAAATGAGACGGTAGGACGGCCTTGAGGACCGACGAGCCTCGGCTGGGTGTCGGCTCCCCGCATCGGAGGCGACGGTCAGGGCGGTTCCCCCGCGCCTCCGGGGCACGACCCGAGCGACCATGGCCCATTTTGGCCTCTTTCTTGGGGTTGCCGTGGGCCCAATTGGAGCCTGTCTGGTGTGTCGAGGGACAGTGACCCATGTCCGTGGCTTTCCTTCTTTTTTTAGTTCTGGCTCGTGAAGCGCGATGAAGCTCCTCAATCTCTCGTCATATTTATCTTGCCCATGGACTCTGCATTTTTAGATTCGGGTCGTTTGTGTCTTTTCCCCTTCAAATTTGCTACACCCACTCGGTCACGTACCCTTTACAATTAAGCGATTGACGAATTCTTTTTCGGAACAGTAAGTTAGGCGCCCGCCGGAGGGCAGCAGGATGCCCATCTTGAAGGCTTGGTTTCTGACCTGCGCAGTATTACTAGCATAGCCGTTTTTGCTCAGTTTTCTTTCCCCCCGAAGAAACAATACACAATCAATCATGGCGCCGTCCGGTCCCATTACAACACCGCTGACCACGCTGCTGGGGATCCAGCATCCCATCATGCTTGCTGGCATGGCGCACACGGCAGGTGGAGAGCTCGCTGCGGCTGTATCCAATGCAGGAGGTCTCGGCGTCGTCGGCGGCTTCCAGTACACACCGGAGCAGCTACGCGAAATCATTTCTGAGATGAAGGCCCGATTTAAGCAGCCCAATCTCCCCTTTGGCGTTGACTTGGCCTTGCCTCAAGTCGGTGGCAGCGCTCGAAAGACGAACCACGACTACACACATGGTAGACTAAACGAACTTGTGGACCTGATCATTGAGAGTGGTGCCTGTCTCTTCGTCAGCGCCGTCGGTGTTCCTGATAAGGAAGTCATTGACAAGTTTCACAAACACGGCATCTTGGTCATGAACATGGTCGGCCACCCCAAGCACGCCGTCAAGGCCCTTGAGCGTGGCGTCGATATGCTTTGTGCCCAGGGCACCGAGGGAGGCGGCCACACTGGCGATGTCGCCAACTCGGTGCTGATCCCGGCAGTTGTCGATGTTGCTCGTCGCTACAAGCCAGCCATGCTGAAGGGCCAGACGGCCCTGGTCCTTGCCGCAGGCGGCATTCACAACGGACGTGGCCTGGCCAGCTCTCTCATGCAGGGCGCTGTCGGTGTCTGGGTTGGTACCAGATTTGTTGCCTGCACCGAGGCCGCAAGCGCTCAGGAACACAAGGAGGCCGTTGTTGCTTGCGACTTCTCTGAGACTGACCGTACTTTGGTTCTCACGGGCCGGCCGTTGCGAGCTCGACTCAACTCTTACCTGAAGAGCTGGCAGGTTAGAGGTAATGCTGCCCAGGAGCTTTGTGACAAGGGTATTGTCCCCGTCGAGCACGACTTCGAAAACGATCGCGACGACATTGAATTTCCTCACCTCATGGGCCAGGTGGCCGGGGCAATTACCAAGATCCAGCCCGCCAAAGAGATTGTCGACGAAATGGTTGCCGAGGCCGTGGACCAACTCAAGTTGGCCAACGTGTATCTGAGCTCTAAGAGCAAGCTGTAAACTACCTGGAATATATTAATCAAAGGACGAAAAAAAAAGGCATGATGAAAGTTTTCCGACCAGAAAAATGGTGTCATCGTTTTGAGGATATTTTGTCGCGGGAGAATTCTGTCACGGTTCCAATGTTGACAGCCATAGTTGTTAGAAGAGGACTAAGCATGCGCGATGTCGGTTTTCTAGAGGAGCGCTGCGTGTAAAAGTAGGGAGAGACAGTATATGACATTATAATGCGGATTTTATAAAAACGAACAACACCGCCGTCCAGAAAAATGGCACATACTAAAGTTCTCATGCAAAGGTGATGTCTAAATTAGTGCATTGAAGAAGGCCAGCCATCTCGAGCAGATCTGCGCACGGGCCAGGTGCCAGTTATGTACCTCAACGTCCTGATGTGGGGCACAATCATCGGTTGGCTGGGTGCATTTTTTTTTCTTATCCGCCAGGTCCAGCTTTTTTTTTTTTCGTTATCGCAAATCCCACTCACTTATCGAACATTTTCCCCCAAAGACCCTTCAACATAGCACCGACCGAAGCAGAGCAACGACAGGGTTCTTGAGTAAGAAGAAAACAGACTCGCGAGTAGCTTTTTATTCCCTTGCAAGGTTTCTATATAATGGGTGACGGAATCGCCAAGAAGCGGAAGCGCAATGGCGCTGAAGCTGTTGCCAATGCCACCGCCTTTTCGAAAAAGTCAAAGAAGGTCAAGAACGCACCGCCAAAAATTGAGCCTGAGGAGGACGAGAGTGAAAGCGGAGAGAATGATAATTTGAGCGAGGAGCAGAACGAGCAACAGGACGAGGAGAACTGCGGCGATGCGGAGGAAGGCCCTATCGCTGAGGATGCGGAGGAAGAAGATGCCGACGATACAGTTGGAGATCTTCCCGCCGACGGTGCTCCTATACTGCCCCCGACTGCTGAGTCGGATATGTTTGACCAATTGAAGCTGTCGGAGAAGACGATGAAGGCTATCAACGAAATGGGCTTCACCAAGATGACCGCCATCCAGAGGACTGTATGTGACTTAGATCTCCTTCGGAGCTCCTCGGCTTCGACCACGCTTTGAAGTAGCCAGCTAATGAATCGACAGGCTATCCCACCGCTGCTGGCGGGCAAGGATGTTCTTGGTGCGGCCAAGACCGGTTCGGGTAAAACACTTGCGTTCCTTATTCCCGCGATCGAGATCCTCAGCGCTCTACGATTCAAGCCCAGAAACGGCACAGGCGTCATTGTCGTGTCGCCTACTCGAGAACTAGCCCTTCAGATTTTCGGTGTCGCTCGCGAGCTTATGCAACATCACTCCCAGACATATGGCATTGTTATTGGAGGTGCCAATAGAAAGGCAGAAGCAGAGAAGCTGTCCAAAGGCGTCAACCTGCTGATTGCAACTCCTGGTCGACTCCTTGACCATTTATTGAACACACCGTTTGTGTTCAAGAATCTCAAGTCCCTGGTTATCGACGAAGCAGACCGCATTTTGGAAGTTGGTTTCGAGGACGAGATTCGCCAAATTGTCAAGGTCTTATCCAATGACGACCGGCAGACTATGCTGTTCTCAGCCACACAAACCACCAAAGTCGGTAAGTAGCTCTGACAGCTCGAACGAAGTCAAGACATGTGGAACTCGCACCAGCTAACGTATATTGCAGAGGATCTTGCAAGGATATCACTGCGACCCGGCCCTCTGTATATCAATGTCGACGAAGAGAAGCAGTTCAGCACTGTGGACGGGCTTGAACAAGGCTATGTCCTTTGCGATGCCGACAAGCGATTCATTTTGCTCTTCTCATTCCTGAAAAGAATGAAGGAAAAGAAGAAGAAGGTGATTGTGTTCTTCAGTAGTTGCAACTCTGTCAAGTACTACGCGGAGCTCCTCAACTACATCGATTGTCCGGTGCTAGATCTTCACGGCAAGCAGAAGCAGCAAAAGCGAACAAATACCTTTTTCGAGTTCAGCAATGCCGAGCATGGCATTCTAATTTGCACCGATGTTGCTGCTCGTGGACTCGACGTAAGTGAAAACTGAGTAATGTACAATTGGACCGCGTTGACAGATGCTGATGCCATTTGGTGCAGATCCCTGCCGTAGATTTCATTGTTCAATTCGACCCCCCGGATAATACGCGCGACTACATTCACCGTGTCGGCCGCACAGCTCGTGGTGCCAATACAAAGGGTCGGAGTCTCCTGTTCCTCCAACCCAACGAGGTTGGATTCCTATCACACCTCAAGGCTGCGCGCGTGCCCGTCGTCGAATTTGAATTTCCTACAAAACATATCAAGAACGTGCAATCCTCACTGGAGGGTCTGATCGGAAAGAACTACTACCTGCAACAGAGTGCCAAGGAGGCGTTCAAGTCATACCTGCACGCCTATGCCTCGCACGGCCTGCGATCGGTATACGACGTGCACAAGTTGGACTTGGTGCGTGTGGCCAAGAGTTTTGGATTCGCAACCCCGCCTCGCGTCGACATCAACCTAGGACAGTCAATGAGCAGGAACAGGGTGCAGGGCAGGAGATCATACGGTAGCCAGCCTCGCCAGCCAGTCAGACAAGGCGGCCGTAGATGAATGGGGTGCCTCTGAGTAGGCGACGGAAAATATCGAGTGATGCATGTATAGCTCAGGTATGGCGTTTTTGGCGTGGTGGAATCGCATCGAATGGTTTGTTTGTATTACAATGTTCGTGGCAATACGCTAGACATGCACTTGAAAAGCATTTGGGACACGAGAATGATTCAGGGATCAAACGAATGCTCTGGTGTTGTAGCCAAGTGCGTTGTTGGTCGCCTTGTGACGGCTAACCGCGCTGGCATGTGAGCTTAAACCAGACATGGATCAGACTTGACATGATGACTGAGGCTGAGCCGGCATCTTCGGCGCTAAAACCCCATGGTCAAAAACGTCAATTTGTGCGCTTACCCAGTCCTCAACTTTGCATGTACTACCAACCTGCGTTTCTATCAATTGCATATAACGTGAATACAGCGATAGAAGGTTTTGCTCGTTTTGCTCTTGGCGCCATGAAAACGCCTCTTGTCTAGAAGCCGAAACGCGAAATAAATCCCTGGCGTACAGCTTGTCTTGCCCGGCCCACGCCCAACCTCATTTCCAACCATGGAGGCTCACGACGCGGCCGTCAGGAGCATCGCAGCCCAGGTAAAGACGTTTCACGAAGCGCAAAAGCCCTTCCGCATCTACCATGGCTCAACAAACAGCACGCGCACCTCGCGGCGCCGCGCCGACAACACCATCGACACCAGCCGTCTCAACCACGTCCTCTCCGTGAACAAGACGGCCATGACGGCCCTCGTGGAGCCCAATGTGCCCATGGACGGCCTCGTCGACGCCACGCTGAGGCACGGGCTCATCCCGCCCGTGGTGATGGAGTTTCCGGGCATCACCGTCGGGGGAGGCTTCTCCGGGACGTCGGGCGAGAGCAGCTCGTTCCGCTACGGCGCCTTCGACGCCACGTTTGACTCGATTGAGATTGTGCTGGCGGACGGGCGCGTCGCCCGGGCGTCCCGGACAGAGAAGAGGGACCTGTTCTGGGGCGCGGCGTCGGCCTTTGGCACGCTTGGCGTGGTGACGCTGCTGGAGCTCCGGCTGCGCCCGGCAAAGAGGTACGTGGCCCTGCGGTACGAGCTCTCGCGAGGTGCCGAGGCGTCGGTCCGCCGGATGCGGGAGCAGTGCGACACGCCGGCCAACGACTTTGTCGACGGCATCGCCCTGGACGCCGGCGCGACGCTCATCTGCACGGGGAGGCTGACGGACGAGCTGCCGGCCGGCCGGGAGCCGCGGCGGTTCACGCGGGCGTCGGACCCGTGGTTCTACACCCGCGCCCGCGAGGTGCGCCGGCAGCTCGAGGGCGAGGGCGCGGCCGGGGCGCACGTCGTCGACTACGTCCCGCTGACGGACTACCTGTTCCGCTACGACCGGGGCGGCTTCTGGGTGGGCAAGTACTCGTTTGCGTACTTCTGCGTGCCCTTCAACCGGCTCACGCGGCGGCTGCTGGACGGCTTCATGCGCGCGCGCGTCATGTACCGCGCGGTGCACCGGTCGGGCCTCGCTGACGCCTACATGGTGCAGGACGTCGGGGTGCCGTTTGCGCGCGCGGCCGAGTTCCAGGCCTGGCTCGACGGCGCCCTCGCCATCTACCCGCTCTGGCTGTGCCCGCTGCGCGTGCGGCGCGACGACCGGGACGCCGGCCACGGGCTGCACTCGGGCTTCTGCGACCCGGACGCGCCGGACCTGGTCAACTTTGGCGTGTGGGGGCCGCTGCGGCGCTGCCCGCGGCGGAGGCAGGTCGTCGAGGCGAACCGCGCGCTGGAGACAAAGGTTCGCGAGCTGGCGGGCAAGAAGTGGCTCTACGCGCATGCCTACTACACCGAGGACGAGTTCTGGGCGCACTACGACAGGGCCTCGCACGACGCGCTGAGGGCCAAGTACGCGGCCTCGTATCTGCCGAGCGTCTACGACAAGGTCCGCGTCGACGTCGACGCCGAGGAGGCGGCGAGGCGGAGGAACTGGAGGACCAGGGCGCGCGGCCTGCTGGGGGACATTTGGCCGCTGAGGGGGTTGAAGGGGTTCTGGGCCGCCGCTAGGGGAGGCGACTACCTGATGGAGAGGAAGAAGATGCCGGACACGGACGAGTAGAGTCGAGCTTTTGTTTTGGCATTATGGAAGACGCATTTGATACAGGACGTTTTGAAGCCGGCACCGCCGCGATGACGACGACGACTATCCGCACACATGACCCTGTTCCAACCTCTTTTTCTTTTTTTTCCAAAAATACAGCCTATACAGCCTTAGACCCGGGCCCCGGAGATTTTCTGGCCAGTTAGTCGTGTCGGAAACTGCCCTGCTCCGTCTTCTGCCGCCCGCTCATCTCCTTCATGGTCTTGGTGGCCTGCTCGGCAACCTGCTGGCCAACCTTCTTGCCGAGCTGCTCCGCGTCTTTGCTGACGGCCGCCAGGTCCTCCAGCTCCGCCTGGCTCGGGTTCCTGGCGTCTGTCTGCCGGGCCTTGTCCACCGACGCCCCGGGCGAGGTGAAGTATGCGTAGGCGGCGACGGCCGCGAGAGCCGCGCCTCCGATGGGCACCCTTTGACATCGCGCGCGTTAGTCAAGCCCCCCCTCCCCCCTCAACTATCCAGTCTTGTACGGGAAGCGTACCAGTTTCTCTTGATGGCCTCGGGACCGCCTGGGTTGGGCGGCGGGGGCTGCTGTCCGCCTGGGCCGCCGAGGTCGCCGTCCTTTGCGGTGATCTTGTGTCGGAGCTGTGTCGCCGTGACCCGTGGCGAGAGGGCCCGCGATGCCGCTGGACGGATGGTGCTGCGCAGCAGGCCGGCGGGAACTCTGGGGAGTGCCATGATGACGTACTTTCTTCTGAATCAGCCGGTATTTATTAAAAGAGGTTCACGTCTTAATGAGCCGTTGTGTTGTGCAAAGGCAAGCCGGGGTTTCTCGACGTTTAAATCGTCTGGCCGCGGCGACCCACAATGGCTGCCCATCTCGATGACCTCAGAGTCGAATGGCCATGATGCGCCTATGACGAGGGGGCCGCCGGCCTGCATGAGCGCCACATGTCGGATCTGATTGATGTTGAAGAGTCGAGACTGTGCGTGGTGCTCCTCGCCCGAAACGGACGCGGCTTGATGGGATGGGGTGAAGTGCTATTTGCATTTGAGCGACACCAGCCTCTACGAGGGATGCGACGAGATTGTGCGCGGGCGCTCCAGTGTAGATGTATTATTCCAAATGCCTCTCTTTCATAGGTAATCGGGATCCTAGTCTCTTACTTGTCCTATTTCTCTTCCCTACATTTTCCTAGAGACATCAACCTGGCACCACAGGCCGAGTGCTCCCGTGAGTCCCGTCGCCACTCATGTCAACATTCGTCCTGGCGAACAATGACATTCCAGTTGTCTGTGGAAAACGCCTGCCCCGTCATGTACTTGTCCGCGTAGCCGCGTCCCGTCGAGCACTTCCACACCATCAGCTGCGCGCTGTCGGCGACATCGTCCCAGCTGCCGAGCGCCTGCGCGAAAGGAGCCTAACCGTTTCCCACGGAAGTCAGCCGACGTTGGCCCTCCGAGTATGCGCGGCCGGGAGGAGGCCCGAGGACTGCCAGAAAACTCACATTGTTGCACCACCATATGGCCGCCTGGTATGAACAGCTGACTCGTCCGCAAGTTTCCGGCCCGGGCCCGTTTCTCGGGACGCCAGCCAGGCCCCTGAGATATTCGATTCCCTCCTCTATCCTGCGGACCTTGCACGGGTGCCAGCCGAGAGCGCCCGTGCCGCAAATGACTTGGCTCCAGTTGAAAAGCGGCGAGCGCTTCGCCGCGCCGGAGACGGCCCTGGGCTTCCACTCGGGGTTCATGGCCCTGGCTGCGTCGTGAACCCGTTCCACCGTGCCGGTGAGGTTCTCAAAGTGGCCCGGGAAGACTTCCACCTCCCACGTGAGGTCGACTGCGTCGTAGCCCGGGATGGGTGCTTCCGCGAGTCCTGCCGTGGCCTTGGCTCATCAACGTCAGCACAAGTTGTGACGGAGGAGTGGCGCGCGGGTTTACCTGGAGGGGGAGCGACAAGGCGAGAAGAAGACTGCTGAAAATGACCATTTTGACCGACTGCATCAGCAAATGTTGCTTGGTGTCTGGCAGGATTGAGCTCCCGCCAACACCGGCCCCGGGGGAGCGTCGCGGCCAGTCTTATGTGCGTCTGGCTGGTGGGATCCTTTTGCGGCCGTGTTTGCGCGGATGTCAACTCATGTAGCAAGCTCAATCGTCGTTTTTACCATCCGATGGTTTGTACTTTTGGCACCGGCCACGTACGGCCCCATGATGGGCCTGGTATTTTCCCGAGGCCACGACGCGGCCCAAGGTCGCCATCGCTGAAACTGGCAAAGCCGAGGGCCCGGAATCATTCATGGCGGGGTTTAAGATTCGGCGCGAATACGCTTTTGCGTATTGTTAGCTCGGTGGCGAGGGCCGGACCAGAGAAACGTGTTTGCCATGAATGGATGAGAGAAGAGCAGCGTTTGCAAAGATTGTGGCCTCGCGGGGAATGGACGCATGCGGCCGCACTGCCATCTGGTTCCATGACGAGATTCTATAAAATCTCTGTTTTTCCTCATTTAGGGTTCAGTCCTAGAGTGTCGTTTGTGTCCCATGAAGGATCCAGGAGCAGAGTCCGCGCTGCTGCCAACCTCCTAGGAAGCGACAACGCGGCGGGCCTATTATTAGACTTTGACCCGGCACTACAGCCCGTGCAGTGTTGGCGTTTCTCCAGTGTCCACTCAGGCACGATCTTGAGGATGGCAAGCTGGGCGGCCCGATTGGTCGGCATCTAAAGATGTTGTAGGTGGTGCTTGTCGGGCACTGTTTTGGCAGCGTCGTTGGCACCGCCTTGGTCAAGCAGCCTCGTGCACGGAAACATTGAATTGGCAGGTGAATCTTTTTTATAAGCTCAATGCATATCATTGGCAAATAATGCCCGCCAAGTTGGTACTACAAGCACGTGTCAACCGTGTCTTATACGACGGACCCTTGGCCCAGGAGGCCAACTAGGGTCATGGCTGACATTGTGCCCACGGCTATCAAAGTCGAGTTATGATTTTGCGAGAAAATGGCCAACAGTAATGAGCTTCCGGAGCCCCATCCAGCCCATCGACCTTCTGGCGGCCCGGAGGTTCGGCAAGAGACGCAACATGGCGTGTGTGTGCGCATGTCATCCACAGGTTGAAGCGTTGATGCTTGGTAGTTTGTCAGTCAGCTTGCCGACCACGACTCCTGAGCCACCTCAAGCACGTAATATCTCAAGATGCTGCCCTCGTGGTGAGCGTGGTCGTTCGTTATTTTCCGCTTACGTTATGAGGCGCAATAATAAGGAGTAACTCCCGCTTGGCTGGTGTTGGATGTTGGCATGCCCTCTTTAGAATATTTACCGACGGTTGTACCGTGCTTCGGCCTGTGCCGTGTTCGATGTTCCAGACTCCCGGCAGGAGTGTGTAACAGGCGGTATTGGGCGATGCTACACAACGACGGCAATATACGAGTTGCGAGTTTTCGTCATCATTTGCGCTGGCATTTGATGCAGACGCAGCGCCTACAATCCGTCCCCTCGACAAGGATCCACGGGTACGTTGTCACACGGTTAGGCCTCAACAGAGGCGTTGGGCAAATAAGGTCTCACAAAGGAGGCATCACAAGACCTCAAGCATAGATTGGGGACCTCAGGCCAGCCTTGTCTTGGGCCTCCAGCGCTCACCGACTTCTCGCATATATAGACCTTCTTGGTCCCTCAAGGCCTGGAGGGAAACCAAGGACTCTTGATAGCTCAAAGCAGGTTATCAGTCTGAGTCGAATCCCAAGTTCCAAGCCCTCATACGCTGAGCCCTTGTCACATACGTATATTCCCCAAGTTACCACCTGGTCTGGTCAATTGCTCAACTTTCTCTACTCTTTACCCAAGTCGTCTATTAAAAAGAGGCCACCAATCCACCAATCTCCCACGACCCCTTGGCCTCCCATACGAAAATATGGCGGGCAACAATACATACGTACGCATCACCGGCAACGTGGCCGAAATCAACTTCGGCGATGAATGGGGCTCTCAGAATCTCAAAGTCAAGGCGAATTCCAGATCCGTCCAGTATGTGCGTATAAAAGTCGACAATGAAGAGTTTGAGGCTAGTGGCAGCGGAGAGGGCAACACCATCATTTTCGATCGCAAGTTGGGCACGCCTTGCAAGAAAATTTCGGCCACGTTTGAGTACCAGACTGAGAACGGGGGCAAACTCCAGTCTAAACTGAGGTCTGGAGGTCCTTACGACATAGGCAGGTACAAAACCCTCATTGTCGTTGCCGAGAACGGGGATGACGCCGACTATAACGACGTGATTTTTGAAATTTCAGGGTATTCGAAGCAATAATAGAGGGCCTCGTTCAGCCTGTCATCGTCAAATTAAGCTAGTCTCTTGAAGAAACATGGTGCTTGAATACAAGTGGTCGTCTGTTTTGACAAACATCTCTGTGGCCATTGGCGGGACAAAGATGCCATGCATTGTTTTGGTCAAGTTTCACCTTCGGCCAGATGACTGTTTTCAGGCCGCATGACTCGTACATTGCTTCATCATGCCTGGTCTGGGATATCGTGATTCAATGTTCCATTATGTGTCTGCCTGGGGCTGCCGTGTTCGCCGTCAGACAGCACCATGTTCCATCATGTTGCGGTATGTGGCCGTCGAGCCGACATATGTCCCGATTAGGAAAGTCGCTCCTTGACTGATTCGTTCGGGTGTAATGCTTTCATCAATTGTCATTCTTCACACAAAGGCTTGGCTTGTATATAAGACGACGGATCAGACCCTTTAGAGGTAGTCCCTCTAAAGGTGAAGCCAACGCAAGCATCATGTAAATCGTTACAAGAATTCATGCTTCCTCTATAAGTCCTTTAGTTTATCCTTGCAGTTCTCAATCTGGAACACTTCAGGATAGCGGTTTTGTGTTTTTTCCTCCATTCGTCTGTACATGGCGCCAATGCTATTATTCTCGGCACATTGTGATTCTGTCCTCTCGTTGAGCCGTTTACACTCTTGTTCATATAGCCGCCAGGCAGTCCCTGGCTCACAGTATCGATAGTTTGACGGATGAACATGGTTGTGTAGGATGTGAGAGAGCGACGCCGAGGTCGGATAAAGGGGGGCGCAATGGCTTCCTAGGTCCTGCCAAGTCCTCAGCAAAAGACGATGCACCCCATTTCCCTTGGTGACCAGTTTTGATCCTTCTCCTGGCGTCTCCGAGAGTGCAGGCCCCGAAGGTGTGTTTGTTGGGGGATGCAATGGCCATCTGCACAGCCTTGCACAAGGCATATTCGTGCCGCTGAGGCGACCCTGAAGGAAGGCCCTGAAGACTTCGCCGATGCCTGAGAAGCTTCCTTCTCAAAGGCCTCGAACTTGCTTTCGTTGTATCGCTGGCGCGGGCAGATTTGCATGTCCCAATATGGCGCAAGTTCCGTCTCCTTGGCTGGACGGTAGAGCCAGGATCTAAGATAAGTTGGCCACGATGCCCATCACAACGTTGAGTGGCATTCGGCAAATGCGAGCTGCAGGGCTGGTCTCCAGGCGTGATCCCCGGTGCTTATCATGCACGAGGCGTTTCAATTTTCCGAAGAGATTTGTGGTGGGGGGCCTCGCTTCTTTTCGTTCTGCGATCCGGGAACTCGGTGAACAGGCTGGATGGCAGCGGGCGACGGAGCGGAGGACAGAGAGGAGGTCTTGTATTGCTGAACATGTCGCTTTCGCGCCTTTGGATGAAGACGGACATTGCTAGGAACCCGCCGACCGCAAGACTTAAGTTTGCATGTCTATTTGGCATCCTGCAAATCACTGCAAGTGGCTTGAAACCGAGACGTGTGGCATATCTTAGCGAGGACTTACCAGAACTAAGCTTTACTATGTTGTCCTGTGGCACGGGTTGAGTTTGTTAGCATAGACTGATGAGAAAGTCGTCTCCCCGTTTCGTTGAGTTTTGCTATTGGGGTAGCACCGTGCAAGTGTAAGAAAATGGCGGCGGCTTCGCGAGCACCATGCAGCTGACGGACTTTCATGGCTCAAGCTAGTTTCGTCAGGAGAGGCAACGTGTATTTGATTGAGCCTTCCACACATTTAGCACCTCACCAAACAGAATCACGCAATTCGCACATTCCAAAGTGTAGCTGTGCCATCTCCCTTTGCAGCTCAAGTCGGATTATTATTTGGGTATCTTTGCGGCAATTACATGAGACTCTATATGTATGTATATGCTAGCTGTACATGACCACACAATAACAAAAAAAATAAGATTAAAATAAAACCAGCTAAAAGAGTTCCGCGCCTCATTATTAACACTGACCCAAAAACCTGCCTAGCCATTTACACTTCGCGGGCGCGGGCTGCACCATGATGGACTGTAGTCTGCAGTAGAGAAAAAAAAAAATCTTGTTAGCAAGCAATGGAAGCTGCAAGAATATCGGCAAAGACATGGAACGTACACAAAGGTCTCAAACGGCACACCCCGCATCGTTGTTCTGGCGCCGTCCTTATCCACATTCCAGAGCTGAGGCTCGAAACTGACAGACGCCCAACCCCGGAGCAGCTCGCGCCAGTAGCACACCTGCGATGCCGGGGTCAAGTATCGGTCCCTGAATGTGTCGGCGCCGTTTTGGGCAATCTTCTTGGCTCTCTCCGGATGGGCGAGGAGCTCCGTGACCTTGGCTTCCAGGTCGGAAAAGTCCTCGGCCACCTCGACAAAGTTCTGCTTGGGGCCATCAGCCACCAGCAGTGCGTGGTGCGGCTCGATCCACATCCGCTTGTGCATTATGACGACCGAGTTGCAGTTCTGGAGATACTTGCCCCTGCCCGAGTAGCTATGTCCTGTCGTCGTTGGTTAGCGATGCGTCCGCAACATCCGCCGGCCGCCACATGGAGCACCTACCTTCCGTATGGATGACAAACTGGTATTTACAATGCTCCGACATTGACAAGGCCTTGGCCTGGTCCTCTGAAATCAGGTCACTTATGCCTGCCCACACAATCGCTCGCACGTCGGCCCATTCCTTATCCTTGGTCACCTTGATCAGCTCCTCGCGGTGGCCGTTGGTGGCCACAGCTCCTCTCCAGACGGCCTTCTTGGTCTTTTGTTCAAACTTGACCTCGGCCTCGGCAATCTTTCGCCGCACCTCGTCGTAACCCCCAACAAGGTCCAATGGCCAGCTCCAGTAACCAAAATCTCCCATGAGCCATATCTCCTCGTCTTCGGCCTTGCGTGTCAAGCCCCAAATGGGGTAGTTGTTTTCCTCTGGATCCGGCACGACGTCGGCCACTGAGAAGGCGAACTCGGTGTTGGGTAAGGGCTCAGGGGACGTTATTATGGCTCTGTGGATGGCGTGCAAGATGGCAACTGCCCGCGTGGTGTCGTACTCGTTTTCCAGGATTGTCTCCTGGAGGATGTAGAGCTACGCAAGCATGATTAGAGGGGTGCATGAATGGTGACGGTGTTTGGGAAAGGCAGCACGTACCTGCTGGTCGACAATCATTCCCCGCAGGGCTCCCCTACCGCGCTCGGTTATGTTGAGTTGTTTAGGTGTAATGTTTCCTCTCGCTTTCTGGGCATCGACTCCTCGCTCGATCTCTGCAAACAGGCCCGGGAAGGCCATGTTACACTGCTCGGAATCGAGGGAGTAGCTGTTGGCGTCGCGCACCGGGTTGAATTTCCATCCTTTGTTCTTTTGTGACACAGAGGCGGCACCTCCTTTCTTACCCGACTTGTTGGTCTGGCTTCCGGACTTGTTCCTGTCACGGAAGCTGGGCAATTGCTCCTCGAGAGCGGGCAACACGTCCGGCAGGCGCTCGAGATAGGCTGGTCGAGACAGCAGTGTGGCGATGGAAAGGAGGAAGAGAAAGGCGGCGACAATGACGATACTGGGACCGCAGAACCGTCGCTTGAAAATTGGGAGGGGACCCATTATTGGCGGCTATGGCTGGTCCTCACGTCCTCACGCCCGGGGCTGCTATCGTGAGGCGGATCAATCGAGGATGGCCATCGGGGTCGAGTCGAGAGTCGTGGTGGTGGTGATGGTGGTGGAGGTGAGAGAAGTCAATAGACTCGTGTCTCCCACTCACACGCCCCCTTCCACAGGGCAGTACGTAGCAGTAGGACAGCAGTGGTACAGTACCACACACACTGATAAGGAATACGAAATGCCAAATGCCCTGTAGAGTGACTGAGTCGGTCCGCGTCCATCGAGAACCAAGACCAATGCACACGGCAGCCAAAAGACTCAAATGGTTGAATGACGGCCCCGCCCGCGCTGCCACACTGCAACGCAACCAGACCCGTTGGCCCGTTGAACCCCTGGTCCTGATCAAGAAGGGTTTAGCGCCCAAGACGTTATCCGCCACACTTCATTTCGACAGCTTGAAAAATTTCATTCTGCTGGCAGACCTTTATTCTTGACGGCCCACTCCGCTCCACTCGCACCGTCGTTCTTTCTGCACATCTGGCCCTTTAATCACGCACGTGCGGCTTGAATAGGGACGTCTTTACTGGCTGATTGAGTTTGAGTACTCGTACTCCGTACGGCAAGACGAACAGATGCCTCTGTACACTGTCCCACGTACAGTATGGGCACTGTACAACAAGCTTAATTGGGTCCAACGTTAGTCACGACTTGCTCTCACTTTCTCAGAAATCCTTGCTGCCACATGCGTGTTTCTAAGGGTGTGATTCCCGGAATTGGGGTCAATCTTTTAACCTCAATTTCGACGCATAATTTAGCATAATATGGACGCTAGACTTCAATTAGCTGGATGTAACACATAAATTTAAGTAAAGACCTAATATTTTACATAAACCTTTATTTATCTCTACTTATAATGTATTAAGCTAATAGGGGTAACTTTAATGCTTATAAAAGGCTTAATTATTAATATTTACGTGAAATCTTTTAAAAATTCTTCGTTAAAAATGTTAATAGTAGCTTTACGCTAATTTCTATTAATTAAGATAATTAACATTCTTCTTTAATTAAAATAAGCTTATTAATTAGCTTAAATAACCTTTTAATATTAACTTTTTTAATTAATAATAATAATAATAATAATAA